TGGTTTATATTAGAAACTGTTTATGTTAGAAGCAATGATGATTTGGAATCATAATTCATGCAAATATAAAGGGAGGGAGTCCACATACTTTCCCAAAAAAGCATGGCACTGGTCTGTCACACTGACTTAGTGGCCTCAGAGCACTTGCTTTCCGTAGATTCTGTTTCTGTTCCATCTATTTTTTTATGATGCAGCCGAAAGCATGCTGTCAGAGAAGAACCCCAAGACATTCCGGGGGAAGCCTCTCTTCCACGTTCAGACACAAGCAGCTTGTTCTTGGAGAAGGGAGGCACTCTTGCTCTCTTCCCCACATTCCATGATAAACTCCCTGAGTCCCATAAACAGGCAAAGAGCTGTCATTCCCTCTGGTTAACAGTGCTTGTGTTTGCTACATGGAAGCAAACTGCATTCGGCTCTCCTTTTTTCTCCACAGTGACTTTGGAAGTAGCGGGGGATCAGAGCCAGGGGCCCATCTCACATGCACCACTCTCACCCACAATCCTCTCTGGGTTCACAGAAGGAGCCCTGGATCCAAATGAAGGAAATACTCACCTGTTTGCAAGAAACACTCAGTCTCTAGGGGAATGTGTAAATAAGAGCAATTAAGTCATTAAATGCCAGCTACGAGGTAAAAGCAGTTTCTGGTTTCTGAAGCTCTTTCAGCTGAAGTGTAAGTCATGGACTAGCTGAGCCCAAAACTGACTGTACAACTGCACAAGCAAAACATTAGCTCTTCCCTCTTCTGCTTGGATGTTAAGTCACTGGCTCCTGAAATCATTGAGGTTCCTCAGTACTGAGATTAATTCATCTCCCCAATGACAGCCAGGAACTCAGTAATAATTCACCTCCTTTCTCCTGAAATGCTTCTCATTGAAGTCAGACCTAATTAGTGGAGCAAAACACAGAGAATTACAACACCACAAGGTGACTGAAATGGCATTCATTATTGATTTGCCATTCATTTCTACAGTGCCACATGAAGTTAATTAAATCTCAAAATGCTGCTTCTGCTGCAGAAAGAAGACTAAGCTGTGCAATACACTATTTGTTTTATCACGAAACAACTGTCCTGCAAGTTTGGACAATATATGCAGCATATTTTAAGGAGTTCTGCATTTACTCTCCTTATCCTGTTCTCCTGTGCACAGTTGTTTGCCAGCCAAGGGATGTACCAGCAGACTTTCCTCCCACAGGCAGAAAAGTCGACAAGCTTTCTTTTCCAAAGAAGGGTAGTCCAGCATTCAAGCTATGCATAGCAAAACAAATGCATACACACTAAGGTGAGCAAGTAACCATGCATACTCCGTGCTTCTCCAACCACAATGTTCAAAGCAGGACATATACTCAAGAACAAGTTGACCAAGTTACATTGACAGATTTGGCAGGCATCTCTGCACAAGCTAATAGTCCTCTCTGAGATTCCCTGAGCACTGTCCTGAGTCCCTGTGGATAAATAATGTTCAGACAAGGTGGGCAACCTTGTCATTACCCAAAGGTGGATTTCATACTCATTTGCATTCAGACTGGAAGACACTTACGTGTTTGGCTTGCATTGTGTACCTAAAACATCAACAGAAATGCAGCTATTATATCCCAAATAGGTTATATGTGTACAGAAGTGACTATGCAAAAATGCAGAACAGAGGCAACGTTTATCATTTTGCAGAGCTAATTGTATACTTTGCTCAGTACTGTTAAAAAGCACTTCCCAGACCAGAGTGTTTTACACCCATCTTGCATAAGTGAGAGCAGACAGGGCAATAAAAGATTGGCATGAGATTTTAAAACCCAATCCAACTTTCCTTTCTTATACTAGGCCCACGAGAGAATTTGAAATAGGGTACTGGTATGTGATGGTTTACTGAGGGAAAATTGGCCCAAGCAAGGGCAGGTTGTTGTACAGATAGCATAAAATGTAAAACCATAAAAGCGTAAGTGGTTATTATCCTGCAGCCAAGTAAGCATCACTTCCCTTACTTAAATATCACTATCTCCTTATTTTGAAGTTTGCTATGGCCTAGTCCTGCTCTTTTACTGGAAGATTTCAAATGCAATTAAATACAGGCATGTAATATAAGCCTGATTTTGATCTTTCATATACTGATTTAATGCACTTGTGATGCCACTGGCTCATAACAGAGCTGCTATAGCATTCATCTGAGGCAGAAATCAGCTCTTTCAATAGAGAGGAAAATATGCAAATTTCACTATTTATAATTTCTTTCTGCAGACTGACTGAGTCCAAAGTTAAATCTTAGGAAGAAACACTACCAAACTTTGGAAAAACCTGCAACTAGGGTTGTTCTGCACTCAGTACTTACTTCAACACTTCGGTGAGAAAACATGTATTGGCACAGAAAAAAAACCCAACTAAACCAAGCACAAGAAAACTTTAACAAACGTATTTGAGATAAATCTCCTAAGCCTTTCACATTTTCTCTTCTGCAAGAAAATTACAGGAAAGCTACAAATTAGCTTTCATTCAAATAAAATAAAAATAAAATTCCCACAAGCATGAGAGTTTTTCTAGACTCGAGATAGCATCATGAGGCTTCAGAACATTGACACTTCAGAAGCATGAACCTTTGATATCAAACCCAGGATGTTCTTGTGGTTTGAAATTAGAGTCAGGGAAAAAGTTTGTTTCTGGTTAAAAGCATTTTATCAGTGACACAGACTCTCAGTGACTGCACATACTAACCCCACATGCAAGGTAGAGATAAGTGCAATAGCTCAAACTCAGGGTTTGATTAACCTTTTTTTTTCAGTATCTTCCAACACAATCCCTATCTTCCTCTTAGTTACTGAATGTTCAAGCTTCAAGGGATCAGGAAGCTGTGACGAGCCACAGCTTATCAGCACCTCCTCCGCTCCTAATTCCCCTATAGTACAACTCTTTAGATGCTATAACCAGCAAAAGGACAGCTATGTTAACACCTGGTGATAACTAGGTGCTGCTGCTTTTGATGTGAATAGGAATTACACCTGCCCTCACTAAGACTTTGTTTTACTTCAGCATTGGAAGCACACAAACCTTTTCTACAATTTTGGTTTAAGAACTTCCCGTGGAAGTTGGGAAAATATCAGTGATTTGAGCTGTTTTATAATCCCTAGCCTTGCAATTACAAAAGATAATAATCCACCCTGCAAATAGTAATTTATTCAGGCTCCTAACTGCTGCCTGATACCTAAAAACTGTTTTTCCCTTGCCTCTCCAGCTTGTCTACATTAGCAGTCAGTGTGGCTCAGTAGGAGTAGATCTGGAGAATGAAACAGGGGCTGTTGAGGACCCTACATACACACTGTACGCATTTCAGGGCACAGAGTACTCTGCACCAGACCTGTCTGTTAGTTCTGGTGTACGTTAGGTGCACACCTGGAGCACAAGCAAACTTCCAAGTGATAGAGCCTGTGCCCACACCACAACAAGGACCAAAGTGATCAGCAACAACTGGGAGATTTGCTTTGAAACCATGTTCCCAAATCAAACTAAAATGCTGATAGGTGTCCCCTATGCCACCACCATTTCTTTAGCACAACTTTTTCCTCACACCTTCTCACCTTTGAAAGCTCAGAGAAAGCCTGGCTCCCTCCACATCATACACACAAATACTTCATTCCCCTTCCTGAGGCTCCCTCCTTAGTGATCTCAGAGTGAATGGTGGTTACTAGGAGAACAAACATTTACATTACATTACATTACATTACATTATATTATATTATATTATATTATA